CGCATKTGTAATATATTACCAYTTCAATTTGATACKTCTWCAGATATCGACGAGTGCCACGAGACTCAGCACAACTGCAGTCAGAATTGTAATAACGTTGGAGGTAGCTACTCGTGTAGCTGTAATAATGGATACAAACTACAATCTGATGGAAAATCGTGCAAAGGTWATCAGTGAGGATGAAAATACTCAAAGAATTACCCCCCAGAAAACCACAATTGTCCATCTAGATTGGCAATTGGGGCTGACCATTCTGGCTATCATGCGTAAACAAGTTCTATAGTTTAGACCATAGCTAGTAACTAACTATGTTTACATGCAAAATGCCACTTCATCATGATTGAATAAAACCCTCGATTGGTCCCGGAACAGACAGAATAAAGCAGTTTCAGATGATGAGCCGATTCGAACTAAAACAGATTTCCACGACGAGAATGACAGCCCAAATGAGTAGTTAGAATTCATCTGTGACTCAGTCTACTTTTAATATTATTATTTATTTGTGAATTGACCAGTATTGTGTACTCCTTCTAGATATCGATGAATGTGCTAGATCTCCATCACCATGTGATTTAACAACAACGACTTGCTCCAATAACGAGGGAAGCTTCGCCTGTATTTGCAAAAGTGGATATCGAAGAAAGGATCCATCTTCATGTGTTGGTAAGAAAAGCCTACTATGGTAACTAACAAACTTTTGATTAAGACGGATTTCTTTTTCGAATGCTTTACAGACAGTTATGTTATACTTTGTTAGTCCTCTCTCTAGGAGAGAAAGGGGATTCCCTCAGATTCGATTTAGACCTTGGATAACCGTCAAAATCATACCTATCAAAGACTTACAAAGGTCTGCTTGGTAATATAAGATCAAGATAATCACCCTGTTGGATTAACTCCTCCATTGAAATGCTATAGAAATCATGCTCAATGTTTTTTTCTAATTGAAAAGTTCACACCTTTCATCCATCATTTATTACCATCGCATCTTTTATCTTTAAAAAGTCTCTTATTGAATTATTGATCAAATTTTCTTTAGACAAAAATGAGTGCAATAATGGCGAATCAAAGTGTGTTCTTCAATCCACATGGTGTAAAAATATGCCTGGGACTTACTACTGCATTTGTAAAAAAGGATGGTACCGTAACCATGGTGAAGAAGACAAATTTCCCTATCGATGTCATGGTAAGGACCAAGATYTATTTATACGTTGTCAGTATATTATCATTTAATTTGTTGGGCGATCCAATAAAAAAGTCCCGTGTAATAATACAAGAATGAATATGACGTAATTCTAYGAGCCCTACCCAAAATCTCTTGGATGAAGACGGAATAATTTTGTCAAGTCGAGACTGGAGTTTTGTCGAAAACTTCAGCCTCGAACTGAAGCCACTTTTTCGTGTTCATCCAAGCGAGYGTGGGATAGGTCTATTAGTAAACGCAATTTTGGCACTACAACTCGACGTTGAATCAGTAGAACCATATCCGTATGGCTTAATTCGATTGGGTCACGCGACTTGGTGCACAGTACATTTGACCAACATTTTCCATTTATTTCAATAACATTGAGCTTTTAAAATCTAGTAATCTTGATTCATTGAATCATTTTAGATTATGACGAGTGCGCTTATAATAATGGCGGTTGTAGTCACGGATGTCAGAATCTYAATGGTACCTTCTTATGTAAATGTCCAAAGGGTTATGAACTTGGACTAGATGGACTTAACTGCAAAGGTAAGGAACTTGTTCCTCAGTGTATGTCAGTTATTTTATACGATACTGTAGATTTAAGTGAAAACATTTCATCTGTCAAGCTTAAATAGTGGAAAATATTACTAAACTATGCTAATTCGTTTGTAATTAGTATATAATTTGTTTCACGGATTTAGTACGTTAACTTTATCTAACTAAGAGCGAGCACAAGTTTAGAATGTTATTTTTTGTTTTTAATGAATAAAGAAAACGTTTTTCTTATATGTCTATTTTAATTGTTTCTTTCCAGACAAGGATGAATGCTTGGTTAGTAAAGGTGGATGTGAACACTTTTGCCAGAATTCAGTCGGTAGCTACCATTGTACTTGCAGAGATGGATTCCGGCCAGTACAGACATACAAATGTGAAGGTTAGACTAACCACTGTCAAAATATATGATATGGAATACGATTTGGGTTGGGAAGTCTTTACCCAATTCTTATACTATTTGAATAATTATATTTTTACGTAATGACGTCGTTGAGATCGAAATGCACTCTGGGATTGACAAAAGTAACAAATCGATGTTAAGTTGTTGCTTTTTCCAGGGGCATGCGCAGTGTTTTATAAAGTTTTGCAGTGCAAACAAGGCAATTGATTGCAAAATTGAAAAAAAATTGCTTTGACTTTACATTGAAAAAAAAAAAAACATTCACTTTGGATTATCCGAAAATGCGTTACCCTGTCGATTTGGCAAAAAAGTGTCATATTTCAAAGCGTATCAATTCTTAAGGTCTTTTAAAACCAAAACAAACCCTGAAATATTACACTCTGCTTCACTTTAATGAAAGTGCAATCTTCTAAAAGCAAGATATGCCCTTTAAGCGTTTCTTGGTTCTGTCTTGGTCTCATGCGCAGGAGCGGCAGCAATTTTTGCAAACTATCGTGTATTCATTATCGACATAAAACATTTKTTACTTTTAACAGATATTGATGAATGTGCGGAAAACAAAGACAAGTGTGACGACTCCACAACTACTTGTAGTAACAACAAGCCCGGATACCAATGCTACTGTAATAATGGTTATAGACCAATCCAAGGCGACAGCTATAAGTGCAAGCGTAAGTTAACTTAAGAATACAATTTACCCTTATACTAGGCGGTTTCCCTCGGGACTTTCCAAAGTTGCAATTTGATAGAGATTGGCAGCCAAATAAAAGTGTTTTAGATTGTGAATAGACAATTGGTATATTCTTTATTCCTGCATGCGAATACTTATCAGTCGAACTCATATAGAATCTCGACTTATTATGCACTTATATTATCGATGTATTATCRACGTAGTGTACGTATGGCAGTTGTTTGCTCAATTTTGTCCAAAATGTCCTTCAAAAAACATYTCTCATCAGTCACCGTCATTTAAAACATACCCTAAATTCAGCTCTTAGGAAAAATTGCATTAATGAAGATACTGTTTCTCAAAATCGCAAGTTCTTCCATTTCGAAATGACTTGTAAAATGTTAATATTTGTTAAATAGACACATCAACATTGGATAAAACGATGAAATATCTAACCTTATCATAAAAGGGGCATTTGAGTATTGGGGCCACATAAAATGTTCACATGTTATTGTATTTTTAGCATTGACTTGCCCCGCCCTCTCGCAATCCACTGGTACTATCATCTCACCACAAACATGCATCCAAAATGGCGGGCCAAAGCTTAACGATGTTTGCACGTACAGCTGCTCGAGCGGTTACGAGAAGCCATCGGGTGCTGGAACAACTCTGAAATGCGCGGTAAAAACATATGACATACTATGTGCRGTAATAGATAAGAACTAAGATTGAGATTATTAAAACAACAAAAGCAAAGAATTGAGAGTTACGTTAAGAAATGCGTTTTGTTATACTGGACATCTTTGTTTTTTAATGTGTGTCTTTTTCTTCTTTATTATTTAACTATGAATTAATGGTCTTTGTCCGAGCATTACTGCATAATTTAGACACTGAAAARATTTAACTTTTAAGTTAAAACATCTTTGATTCTTAATCATCCAGGCTTCAGGTTCTTGGACAGGAGATGCAAAGAGCTGTGTGCGTAAGTATTACGGGCAGAGACAATATCAATAAAACGAGACTGAAAGCTATTATATTAAACTTTATATAGTCAGAATTTTTAGAAAGTTTGTATTAAAGGAAGACGAGAATCCATCCGCCAATCATATTTTATGTCGTGTTATCTGAGTCTTATTTCATCTGCACAAATTTAATTTTTAATTTTCCTTAAAAAGAAATGTTTCTTAGAAAATAGGCTTTTGCATTTTTCTAGTTCAGAATAGGGAGATTTTAAAACCTTTAGGTGTTACACATATCATTATAGTTCTAGTCCAGATATTACAAAATAAATTTGAAATTAGCCCAGACAATTGCTGATTTTCAGGTAATGTCACAGCGGCCATCTTGGAGGTACTTTAACAAAGGATTTCTCATTAGTATCTATTGTTCATACTTCCAACTTGGGCAACGTTATTTTGTTGTTTAAATTTCATGTGTGAATGATTGAAAAACAGCAATGCATAGCTCTACTTAACCGTCTCTTATGTAAGCTTAGAAATGCGTAATTCATATAAACACAACAAATCTTAAAATACATATTTGTGAACTCTGAATGTTTTATTTTATTTTTTTATTTTTTACACGCAGGAAAAACTTGCCCAGCTCTTACACCACCTAATAACGGAAAAGTGTATCCAGACAGTTGTCAGAYTCATGGAGGCTCATTTGAAGGACAGTGTTACTACCGTTGTAATGATAACTACAACGCCGTTGGTGACTCTGCAAGAACCTGCCAGGCAGATGGAACGTGGAGCACTCCTGCAAAACCTTTTAGCTGTCAGAAAAGTAATTCTAATAGGCAATGTGCAGCGATGCCATTTTTTTCAAAGTTGATATAGTTGTAGTCCTTACACTTAGACTCTAAAATATACGTCTAAAAGCATTTTTTGCGATTTCATTAAAGCAAAGGCAAAACCACAATAGATATTTCAGAAGGACTGTAAAAAGTACGAAGACTACAACTACCATCATGCTTTGCTGCACAAGATGTCGTCGCTGCATATTGCCTATTGTGTACATGTCCGTCCAGTAGATGATTATTTAACGAGTTTTCATGTACGGATTTTTTAACGAAGGTTTAAAAAACTGAGTTGTTTCACATTAGAGTGCAGACACTAAAGTAATGAAAAGAAAACTAAAAGTACTAATTTTTTCTAAAATTATTTTTTTTTGCACTATGAAAGTTTTCTTAACCATGTTTTTTTTGCACTATTTCGTTGATACCTTTTCGAGATTTTTCGAGATTTTTAGAAAAATCATCAAGTAGATTATCCTGTAATATTATCAACAARAAAACATGAAGACTAGCCTTCTAAAAGACTTTCTTAAGTTTACAAGTACCACCATTATTTAGCAAATTACTAAAATCCTTGTATTTATGCAGTTCAACCTAAGCCCACGATTCAATGTCCAGCGCCTGTAACAGTTAAGCTACAAACAGGACAAAGTACAGCCGACGTTTCTGCTCTTCTCGACAAACCAAAATCAAACGTGAAGAAAATCACTGTATCACCAGCAAAGTACCAAAYGTCAACAGTGTTCCCTGCAGGATTCACAGTCTTGACTTACACCGCAACGAATGATGTAAACGAAGCTGTGTCTTGTAAGACAACAGTGTCAGTTATGGGTAAGATCATAGCAAATGACGGAATTCGAACTTTGCTATGCCATATAAGTAGGATATTACCGACAGTGCCAGGCTTTGATAAAGATAAATGTTGTATGAATGCCCCTTTTAAAATACGGAAAGATGAAAGATGAAACGGATATCTCAAAGTGATCAATGTAGCATCCTGTTAAACATATAATTCTCCATGAAAGCTAAAGTAATTATAGCTTTAAAAAATTCATTTTCCTCTAACATGTATTGTTATTTCCACTATTGTGAGAGATCCATATCTATAGAGACCTCTATGTCAAAGGACACCTTTCCGAACTAGGTTTCCTTGATCACTGACAATAAATTAAAGACTGACGAGTACTTCAGGATGGATGAATTCTTATTTTCTACCCAGCCTCGACATAGAACTGCTGTTTCGTGATTATTCATGCGGATTTAGGATATATCCGATGGTATTACTTTTAAAAATATGTTATATGTTCATTTTATTTTTAGACGAAGAGAAGCCAAAAGTTACTGGTTGTCCTGCTGATATTTTCGCAGCAGTCATTGGAAGCAGCAAGCAGATCTTTTGGACTCCACCGAAATTTACTGATAACGTGGCCGTTACCAAAGTGACATCAACTAGGAAGCCTGGCGATACGTTTTCTATCGGTTCCTTAATTGTGTACTATCGTGCTTCTGATGCCGCTGGAAATTCTTTGTCTTGTAGTTTTGAAGTAAGAATCAAAAGTAAGTAACACTTTAAACCTGGGCTTATCATCATGTTACACTTAAATACGGTGAAGATTTGACACCACAATAAACAAAATACTATTTTAATGGTGCTCCTTATATAGGTAGTAAAATTTAAATCCACATATGGGGGATATTTAGCTATAGTTGAGTTTCGGGATCTCCTTTTCGCTGTGTTAGCTTCAATTTTGTGCAAAATATTCCGAAATTTAAATAATGCTAGTAAAATTTCAAACTATTTTCAATGTCTTCTATATTCACGAATAAAAGAATTTATGCTAACACAGCGTAAAAGAGGTCGTTAAAAGGGTTTATTATGAACAGGCATTCAATGCCGGAAAGTTAATAAGAAAGATACGAGTAAACGACATTAGGGGTGGCAAATGATACCTTCAAAAACGCAAAAAGCTCGGCAAATAACTAAAAAATAGTTTTTTTACGGAGTATTGGAATATCGATTATGAATTAAAAAACAATTCTCGTTTTTTAACTTTATTTATTTGCACTTAAATTTTCAGTGAAGGAATGTCCTGTACCAAGAACTCCAGATAACGGACAGATTACAGTAAAAAGCTTTGGTGGTACTAAATTTGCCACTATTGCATGCAATGCTGGTAAAAAAGAATTTTTTTATGTCTGGGGTGTGACATGTGACCCGAACACTGCAACGTGGCAGGAAGTACCGGACTGTGTTGGTAAGATTATTGCACGAAATAAGCATTTATGGTTTTAAAGTCCCTATAAATTTTCGTGGTTTATTGATTATTTTTTACAGTCTTTATATAGTGGGTGAACGATACGATTTATTTTCGATTGGATATATAAATAGTCTTTGAGATATAGTGGTTCAAACGCCCAAATTCCAGAAGAAAGCAGTGGATCGACTTTGTAAATAAGAAGCGATCGAACTTCACTCCTCCGTCCAGCTCATGTTCTCACGTTCASATCGAAGACAGATAGAAGTTGGCAAGATATTTATCATGAGGCATTGCAATTGAAATTCTRCTTTTTACGTATATAATGTCATCGTTTTGCTGCTAAAAATATGTTATATTTTTCTTCGTAACCCCGACCTTAACAAGTAGAGAGAAACATGGTGTAAACGCAAAATTTAATTGAATAATTCCACAGATTTTATGGCAGTGCCATCATCTGGTGAATGCAGCGCTGGTTATGTGATTCAAAAGAACTCATTTACGAAGATATGTGGTAAGTACTCAGTATTCCTACATATTCATGCGTTTATCTACAAGAATCATCATGAATTTCCTTCAAATCTGCTCTAAAAAGGGCACCCTAGCCTAGCATAACTGTAAGAATCCCATAGCATTTCATTTTTTTTCTTTACAGTCAAGTGCCCGCGAGGATATTTCTACGATAGTGCTCAGAAAGACTGCAAAAAATGTGCCATTGGAACATTCACTGATGCTGAAGGCAGTAATTCGTGCACATCATGTCCACCCAACAAAGGAACACTAGCTGTTGGCTCAAAAGCTTGCTTACGTATGTTGCYTTATTATAATTATAATAATAATGTGTAAAGCCTTGTATAGCGCTTTTTAAAAAAGGTAAAAATTAAAATAAAAAGTTAAAATATAGAATAACAATGAAATGTAGTTAGTCACATGATGAGCTTAGGCTMGAAAACTTTTGCCCCACTAATTGGCTGAGGGTAACTTCATGATGAGTTTCATAGGTTTTAACAGCAGCTTTGAATTCGTTCAGTGAGGGAATGATTGAAGAAGGAAAAGTGAATTCCATGAACCAGCAACACTAAATTGGTAGTAGTGATTTTTAAAGATAGCTTGCACGTGTCACGGGATTTGAGGAATGAGGCTGTTAACGGCAATACGTTACCTAAAATATCAAATTGGATGATTGCGCACGTGAATAATGTTTGATAGATGTAAAATATTCTTTGTCATAAGTAAAACTTAATCAGGTAATCGCTATGATTTCCAGTTAATGAGAGATTGTACCGGCACATGAGTGAAAGTCGATCTTTGTGGATCTCGTTATTAAAAGTCTTTATTAATTGATCGTTGTTTTTTGATTGTCTTGAACTGTATTTTTATATTATGCATAAGCAATAAYCTTCTTTCTTTTTTAGAGAAATGCAGACCAGGTAGATATTCTGCTGACGGCTTTACATCATGTAAAGTCTGCAAGGAAGGTTTCTATGAGGACCGCTATGGATCTACAGCYTGCAAATCTTGCCCAGATGGAATGTCCACTCTCTCAGTTGGTTCTGACTCACTAAGCGATTGTGGAGGTACATTTATGAATCTTTGCTTCTTTCTCTTCTTTCTCTTCTTTCTCTTCTTTCCTTTTTTCATTTTATTTCCTTCTTTCTCTTACGTTATTCCTTCCTTAAGTTGCAAAGCAAAAAAAGATCAACTTTCTAAGATATGAATATGGAGTACATTTAACCAAAGTTTTGCACAAACATTTATTGGAGAGGTCTCTTGTGGTGGAATGGGCATTGACCTTAATAGATAAGTAAGAGTTACATACCGAGAACGGAGGCAATCAGCCTAATACATCCCGAGGGCCGTAGGCCCGAGGGATGTATAGGCTGATTGCCGACGTTCGAGGTATGTAACTGGCTTATTTCATACTTGAAGAAGTTTTCCAAGCACTGCATTGATATTTTCATTTTTAGGCAAAGAAGCCGTTTTCATATGAATTAAAAACCAAACCCTCGATTAGAAAGATTACGAAATTTATACTGAAAATTCCCAAACGGGAATAATTTGCATAACTCGTTAGTCCCATGAGACCAATGCTAACAATATGTCTTTTGTAACAAGTAACTGGACAATGTTAAATAACTGTTTTATTCCATAACTGACATCGATTAGTCAGTTAGCATAACGTGTTAAGTATAGGATTTTCAAAGCTAAGGTTGTGGGTTCGAATCTACTTGGTGTCACTTGAATTTTTCTTTCTTTCTTTCAAGTTTYAGACGGAAAATTTCTAAGTTGAACGTAGTAGTTAATTAGGCATTCAAGGGCCAATATACATTAGTATTCAAGGGCAATATATAGATATTGCCCTCAAATGGGGGCGATATCTAGATATATCCCTGAAACTTCGATATAAAGCACTTGAATGCACAAMGAGCTGGGGAATAWGCGAGATACAACACTATGAATAACAAAGAAAACTGAATCAAGTATGAAATAAATACAAATATAGACGACGTCATTCTTGTTTTCTCTCAATTGCATATACAGTAAGGCCATCAATCTCCAAATTTGAGATCAACCCCAACAATGTTACTGAAGGAAAACAAGCCGAGATTGTTTGCAAGGGGACTGGAGTTCCTTTACCAACATTCCACATCAAGAAGATTAAACCAGCACCTGGTAGGTTATCATTTCATCAAGGCAACCTCTTTATTGATACTCGATTGCAATGGAATTAATCTCGTGATAATATTAACGGGGGAAGAATTTTATTTCATATGGAGTGGACATACTAAATTATACTCGGATTAGTCCTAATTATTCCTATTTCACAGTAGGAGCAAACGCGCTCAAACTGTGAAATATAAATAGCACAAAAGTTAAATTCTTTTGTTTTCCTTGTATTAAAGTGGAAATAAGTAGTCACTGCTAGTTAGAAATATTAGTTTCACGGATTTATATTTTAATGCATGCACTTTGTTTGTGCTATATTATGCAAATTTGTTTTCATTACTATATATAGAGAGTGCAAACACTAAAACCATGAAATCGAATTTGATTAATTAAGTAGTACCAAATTGTACCAAATYACGTGAATTTCTTGAATTATATTATCTAATCTACACCATATTTGCAGTTCTGTGCAGTATTTGATCATGTGTTTCTACTCTGTGCTATAAAAGTATTTAGCGATATCTAKTAGTGATGAATTTCCTAATTACAATTAGCAAATAGATGGAAGATATRATAGGCATAAAATAAAAGCCTTCTCTTTTTTCAGATGGTTTTGGTGGTCCAGTAAAACAGACAGCCATCAAAGACAACCTTGGTCGTACGGTTGGGCTAAGTTACGTYATCAGCAAGACCACTGAACACGACCATGGTGCTTACAGGTGCCAGCTAGAGAACTCTTTCGGAAAAACCGAGAACTATAAGCTACTTAATGTCCACCTAACAGTAATAAATGGTAAGAAGATCAAATAAGCAATAAAATATTGCAATACAAATAAACCTATTTTTATTTAAAAATATGATTGTTGCAGCTAGGATTCATGATTAAAACAAATATCTAGTTGTCTCTAGCTTAGTTTAGCCCAAGCATGTTTTAGAAGATGACCACGTGGCTGATCGATTTCAGTGGTGCTCGTGTGGTGGACAAAGAGCYAAACTATTACAAACGATTATTTCTTGAAGCTTGGCACTCTGAGTGCGACACTACTTCGTCAAATTATAGAATAGCTATTCCAGATGTCTATATAGCACACTTATTACGCGCGCGCATGCTAACTCTTGAAGCTCCGCGCACGCTATATTTTACTATATACGCGCGCAAACAATTGTAACAGAATTYATTTTAGTTTTTTGCACTGAAGAAGATCTGAGAGCAGATCGAAACGTCTGAATGAAAAACTAAGCTAGAGACAACTAGATATTTGTTTTAATCTATTTTTATTTATTTACTTATAGCTATGGATAACACAAACACAGCCCACACTAGTTAGCGCTAGTTCACAACATTCATTATCTATAGCTTAAGAGTTTATTCACAGGTAGCCCAAGCACTGGACTTGGCAGTAAAAAACGAAAAGTTCGATAAAAGTGGTAAAACTGAATAAAATTATTTCAAACTAAAACTACAACATAGTGTTCTTCTTATTTTTCTCAACACCCCTGTGAAGTTTCAGCTCATTATGTTAAACTTTCCCCTACTTATATATATTTATATGACAAGGTTGGAGACAAACCGGCGAAAAACACAACCGACACGGCTTCAAATTCAAGCATTTATTTGCCAAAAAAACACTTGCCGTTCAAATTGACTGCCATCACACATTTGGTTATGCATAAATACATCTTAATTTTGATGTCTTAGAGGCCTACCTGCTCTTGACTATGCACTAAAGCCGTTCAAACACGAAGATCGACTCTCCAAAAATCGAGAAAAAGGCGCGCCTCTCTTTACTGTGGTCAGCCAACGAAAGCCAAACGGGCAACCCAGGCCCTTTGACCGTTGTTTGTCCGTTGGCTGACCACAGTAAAGAGAGGTGTCGATTGTGTTTTTCGTCGGTTTGTCTCCAACCTTGTAATAATATATATAAGTAGGGGAAAGTTTACCGTAATGAGCTGAAACTTCACAGGGGTGTTGAGAAAAATACTGAAGAACGCTATGTTGTAGTTTTAAATAATTTTATTCAGTTTTACCACTATTATCGATCTTTTCGTTTTTTAYTGCCAAGTCCAGTGTTTGGGCTACCTGTGGTTTATTGAGCTAAAACAAGTTAAAACGTAGTAAAACGATTTTATGATTGCTCTACATCAATCCAACAAAAATACCAYACAATGAATTGATACATCTGTATCCAATCTGAACCAAATACACCGTTAGTAATTTGCTTTTTACACAACCAACCCACCAAATAAAAATTAAGCATGCAAACTAAAAAATAGCAAAACAATTATTCAACAATGCAGTCCACCTCAAATTACTAATAAACGGCTACAATATTGCATGATCTTTGAATTAACGAACCAATCAACCTTGACCTAACCAATTAACCAACCAACCAACCAACCAACCAACCAACCAACCAACCAACCAACCATTATCTTTTTTGTTGTGTTTACAGTTGGGAAACGTCGCTAGACAGCTATGAGCCAGCATTAATAGACAGATCATGTCGATGTAAACGAAAATTGTTTTTCTTATTAATGAATAAATGATTTAATTGGGTCACGTGATTCACATATGTTATTGCAAATAAAAAAGGAAATAAAAAGGATGAAATATTTAGATAATGTGAAAATGCCTTTTATATAACAACTTGGATACTACGCGCGTTCTGATTGGCMAACTACCATGTTTGTATGAGAGTATATAAACATGGTTTTGACGTCACCATTTGTTGTCAAGTGCGATTCAAAACTAGAAGTAGAATAGGAAAAAAATAAATCAGCTATTTATACAAAAATGTATCCRAAAACTTGGAAACAACTTGTTATGAGTATTCTGCATAAAGTTTTACTATTTCTTGTAGGTTTTGAGTGCATAGAATCTTCGGTATAATTAAGCAATAAACGATAGCTTGAAGGGGTTTACTGGCGAAATAAACCGCGCGGGATGGTTGGGAGAACACGAGAAAAGATCAATAAATCGCGAGCCGTCAGGCGAATGATTTACCTTTTCGAAGCATTCAAGGCAGTCGCTTATTGAGATACCTGATTGCTAAGCGTTCTGGGGCTGTGTTAACATTGTTAAATTGCCGCATATGACGTCTATGAAAATGACTAGACCCATGATTCATTTTCCCTCTATTTTTTTTATTTTTGTCTACGTTTTAACGCTTATGACGAAATGACATTTGAATGACATCACAATTGTTTAAATAACCATATTTTCTAAAGGTGTGAACTTTTATTTAGTTAAACAACTACTGAAGGACCTCCCTGAGATAGCAGCTTGYACTGCATTGTGGTCTAGATTAATTACAAACATCTTTTGCTCATGTTGCCAAATATGGCATTGTTTGAACTGAAGCTAGACCAGAATGCACCATGATTTTAAATTTCAGAAAAGGTCAATGTAGTAGCACTATTACACCATATAAGCGATAAGAGATCAGCTGCAGCTACATTGATATATGAGAGTCATATACGGCCATATGTTCAATAATTTCCCCAGCTTCATTTTCCAAAAGACTTAATAATGTGACTTGTAATAATTAACAATATCCTTAAGTCATTGGTTAAACAGCTCAATCAAAATAAACCGCCATATTTTGTTCAATGCATATTTTTTTTTAAAATATACATGTGTACATAACTGTTTTAAAAAGCGTTGTCGGGGAGAAAGGCGAATGGCGATTGTCKAAGGGAGATACAACACGACGAAAGGGACATGGTTACAAAGTTGAACAAACAAAATTTCACTTATTGAAATCATATTGAATATAAATTGAGACTAAATGAAGCCAATGTTTACCACAGACTATCTTACAATATAAATCTTTGTTATTTCCCATCAATTAGCAAAACCCATAGCTACTTTCGGTCGTGCAATTGCCGTTCGACAACTGGCATTCGCCATTTTATCCAGCCGTTTCTGAAATAGGTATATCTCTTTTCCAATAAATGGAACACAATGCAGTGTTGCTATTGTACTCCACGTAAATTAAGTTACAAAAAGACAATTCTTAATTATATTTCGTTAGTTTTATTGTACGGAGCTAGCATAGTCCAAAGCGCGTTGTCAATTGACGTTTTTCCAATTTTGCGATATTGTATAGCATCACCTCAAGAGCACATTTCTTGTTGAATTCATAAGATATCATTTATAAGAATTATTATTAAAATATAATTCTTTTAACTCCGTATATGTATTTTTTATTCAAAACTATTCAGTTAAAATTATAGCTTCATATAGTTTACACAGCTTTGCATCTACGAAAACTTAAAAATGTCAGTGCATATTTTTTCAAACATAGTTAGCAAACAATAATTAATTAGCTAATTACGAAAGAATTACTTTAAGAATTTATAGTATTCCGGCTCCTTTGAAAATCCTTTAATTTTATCAAAGAAGGAGGATTATTCTATCAGTTAAATATTAAAGTATACATAAAAGAATAATGGCAAAGTTTCATAACATTTACTTGGACATTTCTACAATGATAGGTTGAACGTCAAGCTCTGAAAGGAGGTGTATTTTATAAACAAAGTTGAACAAATTTTAGCATAAATGTATGCTTAAATTACAACTGTAAATACAAACCTGGACAAACACCATACACCAAAATAAATAACCAATGTATTTTAGAGTTATTAAAACCTACCGCTGAATAAACCAAAAGAGTGATTGCTAAGAAATTGACTCCAAGTCAAACCTGCTAAGGTTTTCGCGAGCACTGTGGAAGCTTAGGGTTTGAGAAGGTATTTTCAGCCATGATTTGGGTGCTGCTTTTTCCAGTGCTTTTCGCAAATGTCAACGCTTTTCTAGGCAATCCTGATGTCATTTTAAAATCGTTCAAAGAAAAGTATAACAATAGTCAATCAGATTTGATCTTTCTGCTCGATGTCTCTGGAAGTGTATCAAATTATGGTTTCCGAACCGAAAAGATCTTCGTTGATAATTTGCTGAATGAGTTCAGCGTTGCACCCTATTCAACTCGTGTTGCCGTAATTACTTTTGGAAAAGTGGTCAAAACAGATATCGACTACATCGATGTCGACCCTGGCGATCGAACAAAAAACAAATGCGAATTCAAGCCATTTTTCAAACACAGAATCAAGCATAGATGGGGCTCAAGAACAGACATGGAAGCAGCCTTCCAGCGTACAATGGACGTACTACAGAGCGCTATGAACAAGGGACGAAAGAGACTTAACGTTCATACYGTGACGATGATGATAACGGATGGCTGGTGGAACCCTCGAGACCCTAGAGCCAAAGCCAATCGTTTAAAATCGACTTACAAAAACGAACTTTTCATGGTTGGTGTTGGCGGCTACAATAAATGGCAGCTTCAATCGCTGGCAACCACTTATTCACACGTACTGGAATTTCAATCTTTTCACAAATTCAAAGAACTTGCTATGTTTATCAGAGGAGGTAACATCTGTTTAAGTGAAAATGCATGCAGTTATTATTAACATATTTTGATTAAGAACGTAGGTTAGGCTTATTCTTTTTTGTGAGACTCCGCGTTGCGACACAAGTTGTTAAAGATCTAGAATTGCGCTGTGTAACAGGGATCTTCTCATAAGATTCTGTTGTACGAGGTCAAACTTAGCTCTTTGCGGCTGGTGCAGCAAATTCAACGTCAATACACAGTTTATCACAGCTACAGTAACTTTTCGCTCAATTTCGAGTACGCTCTTAGGGAGAGAACTCGTAATTTCTTATTTGCTCTTAGAAGCTTCCCCAAAAATTATCTCAAGATTAAAAAGTGTTCTTTTCAAATTAACTTATCACTTCATTAAGCATTATTTTATTTATAGATGCGCATGATCGAGTATACATGGAAATGCCGAATAARTGCACAGCCAACCAAGGGTGTGATATCAACGGCTTCTGCGCATGCGGTACTGTGAGTGGTATTTACCAGTGCGTTTGTAAGGCYGGCTACGGTGGAACAGGCGTGAAAGGACAATGTTTTAGTACGTATCATAATATGGTTTATAACTCACCCAATAAATGATATCAAACATTATTAGCTTTACTTTGCTATAATAATTATGATTTTCAAAGTACTAATCGTTCAGGACTGCTTGCAGAACTATCCCTTATAAAATCTCCGTAATTCTCGAAAATTCCCCGAAAGACTGTTCAATCTATAAATTCTCTTTCAATGTTATTGTCCGTTTCACATTGTAACATGCAGGAACGTCAGTCAAAAACAATTGAAAAGACAAAGTGATGAATTATTATTATCAGCAAAAGAGATTAGCGAAGTGCTCGCAGACTTCACCCACGGAAWYTTAAAAAGTAAAAAAAAAAAWAAAWRMRTKSRWTGCAATGAATTTAAAAACATCGTTTGAAAAGAGCTTGTTTGTAAGATAGATAAAGCCACTAAACATAAAGAATGTGTTTATTTACTATGCTTTTTTTTCTTTTATACTTCTTCAGTTTATTTGGGAAGCTATACATACATGAAATTTAAGAAATCTTACATTTCTTTTTTTGTTTTATAATAGAATGTCAAAGAGCGACATACAAACGTTGGCCAAGTCCAGAAAGATGCACAGAGTGTCCAGCCAACTCTACAACTGCTGGAGTGGGAAGTACAAGCATCAAAGATTGCGTCTGTTTCGAAGGATTTGTTGGTTCACCCGAGGCCAAAATCCCATGTAAACGTACGTACAATTCTCGTTAGCTTCGTAAAGTCATATTGACTTGTTAAAGTCAAACTAGAACACCATGCAACTTTTCACTGTAAGGAGAAAGCCAAAATATGGGGTGTTTACCATTTACACAAAATTTCCGGAAATTTTCGGATCAGTGATCAAAAGTTTCGGGTCAGTGAACATGACGTATTAGAACTTTCCAAATATGGCTTGCAATCGATTTAGAGTGTGTTTTGTAGTAATTGGCGCATTTTCATGCAGCTCAAAAGACGTGAATAAAACGAAATGGAGGTTAACTTGCTTAGCACTTTAATGTTGGTTGAATCTGCTACCTGATGAAATTGAAAATTCATTTTTGACAACAGCAAACAAGAATTAACCCTTATGGAATCGGTTTTTATGCAACGTGCATTGCCAAGAAACGAAGATTTTTTTTGAAGTTGTCATCCAAAATATTGCATCATCTTCGAAAGCCACTTTAGGATGACAAGAAGAACTTTCGAGTTGCTAGCACAAAGCATCGCCCAAACAGGCCCAAAATGCCCACAGCTAATAGGTTTGAAAAAKCACAAATACCTTGGAAAACAAGTCCTAATTTTTCTCTGATTTCTGGCCAACMACGAGGTTATAAGATCGGTATCGGACCGTTTTACTTTTTTTTGCAAAGCTCGAAATATCTTCACTTTCTTTTTTCCAATATTTTCCCCTACTTCAGTAAAAGCAATTTCAAACTTTGATTAATCCTCGAAGAATGCGTGCGCGCTGACRTGCCGTTGCTCACAGTACTGTTATTACTAGTTATTTGGCGATTTAAAAAATATTTCCATACATTTTCAGGAATTCTTTTTGAAGTTTTAGCACATAGATTGAAACTATTGATTGAGCTGGAAGAATCTCTCTTTATTGTAATTCTCTTAGGATTGCTCTCGATATTTTTGACTTAACTGTCGTGCCTTTACAGCTGCTTTCTCGACCAACTTTCTTAATCATGAACGGGAGGAAAGGGAGTACTCTTTGACCAGCACCAAAGTTTACCGGAAATTCACGTTGAAAATTTGGAATGGGATGCGTTCCAATAAGCTTCAAAACGGAATTCCCGATAATTTGTTATGCAAATAAATCGGGAAAAGTTGTTCCATTTACAATTGTGGTCATTGAACCGAAAATTTCCGGAAATTTTGTGTAAATGGTAAACACCCATGAGCTCTAACTTACCACTTCTCATAAACAGCAATCAGTTGTGGAGCTCTACCAGTACCTACCAACGGCAGATTAATCGCTCCTTGTGGGGAAGTATACAAACAAACTTGTGATTTCCAGTGCAATGTTGGCTATAACATGGTAGGATCTCGATCAAGAACATGTCAGAAAACAGGACAATGGAGTGGAGAATCAACCTCATGTCAAGGTAAGAAACGTTTGATTTTACAAGTGACTCGAACTAAATTGTGGTTTATTGAGATCTCCACTGATTTGAGTTTTGTAGTAATTTTAGTGGCRCGGTTTTGAATAATATTAAGACGTATTGAATACTCTTCTCTCTATAGCCGTAATATGTGCCGCCCTACCACTAATACCTCACGGCAGCAAAACTTGCACTGGAACCAAATATGGACATCACTGTACGTTTGCATGTGATCAAGGATATGACCTTCAGGGAAGTGCAAAGAGGACATGCCAACTCGATGGAACTTGGACAGGRACCTCATCAAGTTGCAAAGGTAATATAAGCAACTTTTTCTTTAGAGATAGCAGTATACGCATTGCATTTTGGTTTAAATTTGATGCAAATATTTTCGCTCATGACAAATATGCGGGTGTCGTTCTAAAGCTAGACCACAGTGCACCATGATGTGTTTAAAAAAAGGGCAATTGAWTAGTGTGTCTGTCCAACAAAAAGTACAATTTATATGTTTTATAGTATTATACTACTATGCCCTATCCAGTCGACAACGTAGAAGTTTGAGAATTGGGRCAGTTTCAGGAAAGTACAATCTTTGTAATAATCATATATTATGTTTTTAGTTAAACTTTGCCCAGCCTTACGCAAGCTTGCCTTTGGGACTGTTCTTCCCGGTGATTGCGTAACAAAACCACAGCCTTATGGCCAAGGYTGCGTCATGAAGTGCGCGCAAGGCTATCAAATTGACAACTCTGCTCCACTGACGTGTGGTATTGATGGACAGTGGAAAGGGAAGTTTCCGACATGTACAGGTACAAATTGATAATATACAATTTTTAATAAGAGAACCTACAACATAAAACCTTGATCTGTTTTTTTTTTTAAATATAAACAATGCAAATAACGAAGATTTTTGTTTATAGTCAGGTACAGCCTGCTTCGCGCAGRTATAGATATATTTTTCTTTACAGGTAGTGCTTTTTACTCTTTTTAGATATTCGCCCGCCTGTAATCACTTGCCCTCGTTCTATCAATGGCAACACTGACCCAGAAGCCCCAACTAAGATGGTGACATGGAGTCTACCAACAGCCTCCGATAACGCACAGCTTCACGATCCTAATGCCACACCTAAAATAACTAGTTCTCACCCCCATGTTAAATCTCCGTACGAGTTTGCAATAGGAACAACGCGTATTGTGTACACTGCTACTGATAAGACCGGTCTTACTGCATCCTGCACCTTCACCATTTCTGTTGTAGGTATGTTTCCTTAAGTAAAAGCATCTTAATTAACTTTAATTTCATATTACACTTTTTAAAGTAATTACTCACAAGCAATTACTCAATTACACACGTAAAATTAATTAAGCTTAGCTACATTATAAAGTGTTGCTATGAGGATGGAGAAAATAAGTAGCTTAAAGGGGACTGTGTCTCAAGGAATAGGAGTGTCAGTAGATTTTTCATCTTCACCAGTACCTTGCGTCCCTGAACGTGGATTTTTTGCAGTGGAATAATGTGAAACATAYAGCACCACTGATGAGAATCACACGTTTTTCTCGGAAAACTAGGGCCTGCAAAGAGGGCAAACGCATGCGGGCTTTGTGAGAGGSCGAGGCTCGTCACACGCCAATGGATCTTTGGTGTCCAGTTTTGTACGTCACTAGAAAATAGCACATCACTCAGCCAGTTCGAGAACTCGTTTGCCTCCTCACTGAATGATTTGCAAATTTACATAAAAAATGCTCTTATTTAATTTTGTTAATTTCTATTTTCAGACAACGAGAAACCATTTATTTCATGCCCGGACAACATTCAGGCAACTAAAAAGGTTGATGTTCCAAAAACCAATGTTTACTGGAAGCCTCCTATTACGTTTGACAATTCACGTCTGCCTGTTAAAGTATTCACACAATCAGTCAACGGCTCTTCCTTCCCAGAAGGAGCACACACTATCACATATACCGCAGTAGATGCAGTCGGTAACAAAAACAAATGTACATTTGTTATTCAAGTGTCAGGTAAGTACGCAAAAAGCTCAAAAAGGCTCATTAGTTCGTGAAGACATAAAGTTTAGTTACTGTATCACAAATCAGTACAGAACATTTCTTAAGTGACATTATTGATGTTTTAGTTGATACACAAACTAAACTTTTCAAATATTTTTAGATTTACWAAATAGTATAATTTCTTATTTTGTCTTTCCTTTATGTTACGTAGTTTTACAATAATCTAATATACATGAATGTATAAGCTTTAAAATGCTTCTTTTACGCCTTCTAAAGCGTACTGGGATTTTGTACAAAGCAATATGTTACTGGCATATGTATCAAACACGGGACCTATACTTTAATATCATGCCGTTCCTGTTTGGCATCTCTCTGAAATTGGCCTGAATAAATATTATTAAAAAATAGCTCTATAATATAGCTCTATAATTTTCTACATTTTAAAGCAATTCAATAAACTGWTTATTGAAATAGTACATTCATCCCATTATAGGAACGAACTGTAAGCCATACGATCCTCCAATCAATGGCAATATAGTCTGTGAGTCCAAAGCTGCGTGGGGAGGTGACCAATGCACTCCAATGTGTAATTCTAAGTTTGACTTTGCTCGAGTTCCTGCCCAGTTTTACCTATGTATGTACAGTGGATATTGGTACCCATTTGACCAGAGACCCAATGTGCAAGTAACAATGCCTTGGCCTGACTGCACAAGTACGAATTGATATTGTTATAATATTATTTATAATCTACATTAAAGTGTCAATTTTGACGTTAATTTTTCTTGAAAAAATAATTTGTGTGAAATACCATGACTATTACGGAATAAATTTATTTATTATGTACTTTAATCACACGTTGATTTTGAATTCTCAGTTAGCATAACTTGTCAGAAATAAGACGGAAAAGCATATTTAAAATCGTGATTTGTTTCATGTTCTGAAGGTTCGTTTGATCCAAATGCCGTCAAGGGAATGGAATGGCAATACTTCACTGGTGACTGCAATAGCCCGGCAGCGCAAAAACAAGCTAAGGATAACTTTATTCGGGGAGTGCAAGAAGTTCTTGGTAACGGCGATCCCAACTTCTGTAAGAACATGGGTGTTTGCGAAATGGAGAAGATAAGAGTGATCTGTGGTAAAGTACAAGCCAGAAAACGAAGTGTTAGCCATACCGTAAGAACTTTATATTTGTAAAAGCTTATAACTMTCCTTACTGCGGATGCATGTTTCATTTTGAACCATTGTGMTCTTGATCATTTCTTGTTTTTAGTGCGTGYTTTCTCGTTAAGTTAGGCCTTTAGATGTTGTTGATATATTTGTCCTTATATGTGTGCTGTAGTTGAATCATTGTCAGCTTCTTTTCTAATTTCCGTTGTGTTTAGTTCCCACCATCAAAAAAAAAAAAAGATTCTAAATAATATTTGCTTCGTTATAATAAAAGAACGTACTCAAGATAGACGTCCAGCTCGATGTTCTCAGCAATGGCAGAAGCTATAGCGAGGTCCAGAAACAAATGGACGACTTTATGATAAAACTGCGTGCAGCAAAGTATGGAAAACTTAGAACCCTTAATGTCCAAGGAATGAACAGCCAGTTTAAAGCTCTAATTGAACAGAATGTACAGCGCCAATGCAGGAATGGAACAGTTTACGAAATGAACACTGAAAAAGCACAGAAGTGCCGTGAGTAATGTTTATTTTTTGGGGATTATCAATAGACATATCTGCGGGACAGAACAACTCCATGGTGACACACTAACGTCGATGAAATATTTATACAATGTTTCCCTTACTTTCTACTTTCAGAGAGTTGCCCAAGTGGTACATATTACGACTCTAATCAGGGCAAATGTGTAAAATGTCCTAAAGACACTTATCAAGACGCTGTTGGTAGTTTGAGCTGCAAGAAATGTGGACGTGGACTTTTCACCGCCAGTGCTGGATCTAAGAAAGCTATAGATTGTAAATGTAAGTAAAAAGACTTTTTAATAATAATAGATTGATAATAATAGATGATGTGGTCAATACTATGTGAGATGAAGTAATGGACTCCATTTTGATTATCATAAGAATATTCATGACATTCCATTATCTGGTTATATATTCAATGAACACGAATTGGCAGCATTGAGCCGAGGTTTCAAGGTATACAGTGAGCACAAAAGAAAAGATTTGTGCCTCGTGTTTTCGGTTCGTTCTCATTAAGTATGGAAAGTCGGTTTGCTCTCGCCAAATTCCTTTGGAAAAGTACTGATTCGCCGTTAGGTAGTCCACTTCATTATCTAGAACCCACTTTATTGAATAAACTAAAAACGTCTATGGCTATCTAATGATTTTCCTAATGTCTCTTCTAATCAGTACCCTGCCCTGCCGGAGAGCATTCCCCGACTGGTTTGATCAGCTGTGTAGCTTGTCCCMTTGGATATTACCAGCCTGACAGAAGGCAGACAAGCTGCAGAAAATGCCCTGGATCAACGACAACACTTAGGGTTGCTGCTACTTCAATCAATGAATGTGGAAGTAAGTAAAACAAAGACGTTCATGATGGGCATTGAGCCAGAGTCTATGAGCTATCAAATAAATCTAAAAAAATTAAATAGACCCGCAGACTTTTTTTGATAAATCTGATCGAATGAATACCATAACAAGATATTAATGTAAGCTTTCTTTCAAATTAGACTTTAGTAGAATAGCCCTTGCCTCAAGACTCCGTGTATATTGTTTCTGCAAACACCTTCAGACTGTTATTTCATTAAAGATTGGCGTGGTTTCTCTGATTGAGAGATAATACGTAAATCAGTCATATATTATAAGTTTATGATCAGTTGAACTGAGGTTGATGAACGAGGATCCAGTTCTTTTGAAACTTGCACTTCATGCTTTGAACACTTTTTATCGANTTTCTCGTTAAGTTAGGCCTTTAGATGTTGTTGATATATTTGTCCTTATATGTGTGCTGTAGTTGAATCATTGTCAGCTTCTTTTCTAATTTCCGTTGTGTTTAGTTCCCACCATCAAAAAAAAAAAAAGATTCTAAATAATATTTGCTTCGTTATAATAAAAGAACGTACTCAAGATAGACGTCCAGCTCGATGTTCTCAGCAATGGCAGAAGCTATAGCGAGGTCCAGAAACAAATGGACGACTTTATGATAAAACTGCGTGCAGCAAAGTATGGAAAACTTAGAACCCTTAATGTCCAAGGAATGAACAGCCAGTTTAAAGCTCTAATTGAACAGAATGTACAGCGCCAATGCAGGAATGGAACAGTTTACGAAATGAACACTGAAAAAGCACAGAAGTGCCGTGAGTAATGTTTATTTTTTGGGGATTATCAATGTAGACATATCTGCGGAACAGAACAACTCCATGGTGACACACTAACGTCGATAAAATATTTATACAATGTTTCCCTTACTTTCTACTTTCAGAGAGTTGCCCAAGTGGTACATATTACGACTCTAATCAGGGCAAATGTGTAAAATGTCCTAAAGACACTTATCAAGACGCTGTTGGTAGTTTGAGCTGCAAGAAATGTGGACGTGGACTTTTCACCGCCATTGCTGGATCTAAGAAAGCTATAGATTGTAAATGTAAGTAAAAAGACTTTTTAATAATAATAGATTGATAATAATAGATGACGTAGTCAATACTATGTGAGATTAAGTAATGGACTCCATTTTGATTATCATAAGAATATTCATGACATTCCATTATCTGGTTATATATTCAATGAACACGAATTGGCAGCATTGAGCCGAGGTTTCAAGGTATACAGTGAGCACAAAAGAAAAGATTTGTGCCTCGTGTTTTCGGTTCGTTCTCATTAAGTATGGAAAGTCGGTTTGCTCTCGCCAAATTCCTTTGGAAAAGTACTGATTCGCCGTTAGGTAGTCCACTTCATTATCTAGAACCCACTTTATTGAATAAACTAAAAACGTCTATGGCTATCTAATGATTTTCCTAATGTCTCTTCTAATCAGTACCCTGCCCTGCCGGAGAGCATTCCCCGACTGGTTTGATCAGCTGTGTAGCTTGTCCCMTTGGATATTACCAGCCTGACAGAAGGCAGACAAGCTGCAGAAAATGCCCTGGATCAACGACAACACTTAGGGTTGCTGCTACTTCAATCAATGAATGTGGAAGTAAGTAAAACAAAGACGTTCATGATGGGCATTGAGCCAGAGTCTATGAGCTATCAAATAAATCTAAAAAAATTAAATAGACCCGCAGACTTTTTTTGATAAATCTGATCGAATGAATACCATAACAAGATATTAATGTAAGCTTTCTTTCAAATTAGACTTTAGTAGAATAGCCCTTGCCTCAAGACTCCGTGTATATTGTTTCTGCAAACACCTTCAGACTGTTATTTCATTAAAGATTGGCGTGGTTTCTCTGATTGAGAGATAATACGTAAATCAGTCATATATTATAAGTTTATGATCAGTTGAACTGAGGTTGATGAACGAGGATCCAGTTCTTTTGAAACTTGCACTTCATGCTTTGAACACTTTTTATCGAATATTTTGTACTATTTAATTCTAGTGCCATGCAAACCTGGATCATATTCTAAAACAGGAGTCGAACCCTGTACTCTCTGCCCAGTCGGAACTTACCAGCCAAATAGCAAAGAAAACAAATGCGTAGACTGTCCTGACGATAAATCAACTTATGGCGTTGGATCAAGCCAACTTTCGCGATGTGTTGGTAGGTGAAAAATTACTCGTACAACTCCAAGATCATAGTATTGGACAAGATTATCAGCAACGTTGTCCTTTTAACCAAACCATTTATGACTAGGAAAGAAAATAGATATAAATACTTTTACTCTGTTTTCTTTATCAGCAATTAATTACTGTGGCTCTAATCCTTGTAACAACGGTGGCAAATGTGTGAATAATGCTGACGAATACGAGTGTAAATGTCCATCCGGCTATACCGGCAGACACTGCGAGATCGAAGAAGATGAGTGCGTATCGACCCCGTGCGCAAAAGGAGCCACTTGTGTAGATAAGGTGTGTCTCTTCTCGACAGAATTGAAATGTCTAAAATGGAATATCTTATGTACGAAATTCAATGGATTTTACTTTAATCGTTTGTCTTTGATTATATTATAATCATTTTATCCATATACGCGAGATATTCGGAGTATGGAATTGAAATGCCCTGCAATTCACCAGCTTTGAACATAAAAAAATAGTACTATATAGTACTATCAAATCAAAGATATGTTTGTAAGTTGCAGACTCGATTCAAATTCCTTTTTACACAACGTCAAATTTTGATTTAGAGATTGAACGTAGAMGTTCAGCGAAGAAAGCCATGGACAAGCAACTGCTATCAGAATTAACATGCTTTAATGATTAAAAATAAACTATACTATGTATTTTTAATTCATTGCTATTTACACCCTAATCGTCATTCGCTAATTCAAGACATCCAGCAATCGTAAAACATATTAAAAAAATGTTTTTTCTTTGTKAAGGTGAACGGTTATGTTTGCCTTTGTCCAAGGGGATATACAGGTCGTCATTGTGGTGACAAAGCGGTCGAGTGTTCATTAAGTCTTTGTAAAAATGGCGGGAAATGCGTCGAGACACCTTCAGGTGCAGAATGTCTGTGTGTTGATGGTTACTCTGGACAGTTCTGCGAAAGCAATACCGATGTAAGAGAGAAAATTGATTTTACTTTTTTCCAATTGAATTAATGTTGAAATTTTCATATTAAATTGACTTACTTAAAACACGTATGATTGGTGGTGAATCTGAGAAACTTACTCTTCTTAACGAGTCTAGTGTTTTCTGTAATTGTAACACAATTGCATCAATTGCACAATATTTCCATGATAAAACTGAACATTTGTAAAATTAAGCTCCTCATAAAATCAGGCCAAACAAATCCCTTTACATTTTCTTGTAGGAATGCAGTAGCAGACCCTGTAAAAATGGTGGGCGATGCACTGACAAAGTTAACGGATTCTCCTGCGCATGTCCAAGCGGATTTACAGGCGAACGGTGTGAACAGAAGACCAACGGCTGTCAAAGCGACTCTTGCTTCAATGGCGGAGTCTGCAGTGAAACGTCATATGGCTTCAAATGCACATGTGCAAACGGATTCGCAGGTCCGCGCTGTGACGTAAATGTTAATGAGTGTTCTAGCTCTCCTTGTCAGAACAATGGAATGTGCGTTGACAAAGATGGCAGTTTTACGTGTTTGTGCAGGCCGGGATACAGTGGAGACAGATGTCAAGTTGGTAAGCAAAATAAACGATGATTAGAAAAAGTCATTAAAAAGGTCCTTTTTGTATTCTTAAAGACACGCCATCACTGTCTTATGTGCTCACATTCSTTTGATATTTGGTGGAAACACTGATTATACGCGTTGGAAAACGTAACACATTATGTGTTGTTCATTTATCATCATACTACATAATCCAGATAATCCCGTATTCACTTCTTATATTGTCGTATCAACCTAGTATAATGCCGTATCGACCTAATATAACGAGAAATGCACCGCGTATGATGATAAATCGGCCACATATAATGTATTTTCCAACGCGTATAATGGTGTTTCCACCAAATATCAAACGAATTTGAGCACATAATAAGACAGTGATGGCGYGCCATAATTCTTTGTATTCTATAAAGAGTATATATAATATCAATCAATGCATTCATTATTAGGCATTAGAAATGTAAATTATTATTATTTCACTAAACTTTTCTGCACTCTATCTAAAATCCTACTCCTGAAAATGTTCAATTAAGAGTGAAATGCAATAACTTTTTATATCGTTAATGTTTCTGTTCAGTTGGATCATCTGATTTCGACCTCACTTTCGAGCGATCAAAAGGACGTACTACTTCGTTTGTTGATATGAGACAAGAGCTTCGTGCTTTTACCATCAGCTTTTGGATGAAGACCAGTGCTSAAGAAATCGATAATGTAGATCCTGGAACACCGATTTCTTATGCAGCAGAACGTCAAGGTAAAATCATTATGTTTCAAYTATTGCTTTCTTCCCTATAGCTCTCTTCGTTGTCGCTTTGGTAAGTTGTTATTGTTGTTTTTTTCATTCTTTTATTTTCTCTCGAAATAATTAAATAAAGATGCTATTTCTGTAGGTAAATTACTAGATAATGCACTGGTAATTCATGATTATAATGGTTTTAACATTTGGATCAATAACGAGAAGGCTGCAACTAACGTTCCTGCTAATGACGCCAAGTGGCATCACATGGCATTTACATGGAAGAGCAGTTCTGGGCAATGGCGTGTTTACAAGGATGGTGCCAATGTGAAATCTAGCTCAGCAGCATTTCAACAAAATCAGGTACAAAAAAAAAAAAAAAAACAACAACAACAACAACAACAACAACAACAACAAAAACAAAACACACAAACAAACAAAGACAAATTACTTACAAAAAACAAAACAAGCAAGCACAAACGACTATCAAATCTTTCCTTTCACACTTTGAAATAGATAAGTCGTGGCAAAGCGGGGCCGTCAAACACAAAAGGAAGATGAGCCTCACGTAAAAGTATATGCTTCAATACACGWGTTGTCTTATACCTCTCTCCCTTCATGCTTTTCTCCACATGACAGGTCATCCCTGCTGGTGGTTTGTTTGCACTTGGTCAAGAACAAGATGTCTTAGGTGGTAACTTTAGCGCTAATGAGGCTTTCATTGGACAAATGAGTCAAATGAATATCTGGAGCTATGAGCTTGATGCTTCTGATATCGCTGAAATGAGTAGACATGCGGACCACAGGGATGGTAACGTTGTTGCCTGGAGTGACTTCTTGGTAAAGATTGACAAGACGGTAAAGAAAACACARCCATCAGCAGCAAGGCACCGTGAGTAATAAAAAAAATAAATGAAAAAAGTAAAGATATTTCAACATCCTGGAGGCAACACTATTCTCTGTATACGTATAGATTCTCTCGTTGGGTTAAAAATTGATGARTCAAAATTTAGCTGGCAAAGAAGTTTTTACTCGATAATCGAAAATAACAATAAATTAGCATTTTATCCAATAATTCCCAATTGCTCAAAACTCTCAMRGACAACTKATGGCAWTTGGCTATGTAGAATCGAATTCATGTTCAGACCSSATTTAATAAAAAAAGCTTTCTAACGCCTTGGTTGGAGATGGTTTCAAAATCTCAAATCAAAATCAGGTTTGATCATATACGTTTTTTATGAAAAGGAACTTTATTATTACTTATTGATAAAATAACAGCAACATTGTCATTTTGTCCTAGAAAATAAGTGTTGGTCGAATTGGATTGATCGCAATGACCCCAACTCTGCAGGAGAGAGTGAGAACAACGGCGGTGCGTGTACATCATCATACTATGACTGCCAGACACTGTCAGGAGAGGGGAAGGAAGACATAGAAACTGAATTTACTTGTACTTCAAGCGGAGTCAGTTGTGTAAACAGCAAGGAAAACATTTGTCCAGATTTCAAATTCCGTGCTGTTTGCAATTGTCCAGGTATTAACAGCACTAAAAAAAGTATTTTTTAATTTTCTTTATGATCGTTAGTGTKACAAAGCTGATTATATTATGCATTATGCTTCCATAGTGAACACGGCATGTAAAACAAATAGATGTCAGAACAATGGTGTTTGTGTCAGTCTTTCTATTGGTTACAAATGTAAATGTCCAGCCGGGTTTGAGGGAAGACACTGTGAGAAAGGTAAGGAAATATTTAATCCAATAATTGATTAACCAATCGACAACGTTATGAAATGCATGCAGCAACTACTAAACAACAATCAGCTAACTTCAACCAACCAACCAACCAACCAACCAACCAACCAACCAACCAACCAACCAACCAACCAACCAACCAACCAACAACCGACAATTGCAAACGAACGAACTAACCAACCAACCAACTAGCAATCGAATGAATCCAACCAACTCATCGGAAAGGAAAGTGCTAATGAATGACTATAAAACAAAATGCATTCATTTATCATTTATATTTTCAGCAATAAATTGTCCAAATCCCGGTCCACTTGCCAACGGGCATATTACTACTTCATCATCAACTTTCGGGCCTGGGACTAGGGCAACTTTCACATGCAAGCAAGGGTACTATCTCWTTGGTTCTCAATCCCTGACATGTCGCTCTGGCAAGTGGCAAGGATCTATACCAGTTTGTAGAGGTACGTCACCACACGCATGGTCTTGAAAAAAAAAAAAAACAACAAACAAACAAAACTTTTGATCAATTAAAATTTGCTTTGCATTTAAAAAWGATGCTATCAAAAATATAAAATCAAATTCCAGATATCGACGAGTGCTCTCAAGGGAAATGTAAGCATTCATGCGCTAACTTTGATGGTGGTTACCGATGTTCATGTGCAAAGGGCTACGCACTTCAAAATGACGGCACTTGCAAAGGTATGTCTTCAAAGTAAATCTAGTTTTTTCGCTCATTATGATCGATAAAAAACATGACCTGACCTTGGATATGATTAATAGAATATAACCTTGAACCTGATTGGATACCGATTGCASGAGCTCTATCATTCTCTGGATTAGTTTCTCTCTTCTGATTGGTTATGTTTGCTAAAATAGCTTCAAACTGCTCCCGTTTTAGTATTCAATATATATGACGTCATTTACTCCATCCTTTTGTTCTTCCATCTTTTGAATCRAAATTTCTCTGATGTGGGATTCCAAAACAAATATTTTCCCGCAAATGTTTTTAATAGATATAAATGAGTCATATGTTGTTTTGCTTGAAGTTTTGAAATAAGGCCATTTTAATGCAAGTAGTACTTTAAATTGCTGATATTTGAAACTACAGAATGTTTGATCGATTTTACTATAGCAAGTTATTTATCAAGCATTTTGAGTCTTTTTTACAATATTTTTTATGTTTTAATTTTTCCAGATATCAATGAGTGCTCAACGCATGGAATCTGCGAGCAAAAGTGCATCAATGTCATGGGTGGCTATAGATGTTCGTGCTCTGCAGGATATAGACTTAAAGGAGGGGCTTGTGAAGGTAGGAAATAAGTAAATGCTAAACCGTAATCATCAAAGCATGCAAGCAAAYAAACAACCATGATGTAACAGTAAGTCAAAGGCAAGYCACCAAGCCAAGGACTATAAGCCTTCTACACTATGTAGTACACTCATTTGTAAATCCATGAGTAATTAACGAGAAAAACACAATAGAAATCACAACTGTGAAGAGTGTTGTAAATATTACATACAATTGAATGCTTTTATGAAAAGAGAGAAGCTTCATTAATCATGTCAGCAATGAATGTCAATGAATAATGCTCTTTCCTTGCGCGTTTTGAATTACAGATATCGATGAATGTGCAGCTAATCAAGGCCGGGGCAGCTGCGAACAGCTTTGCGTAAATTCTCTAGCTTCGTTCAAGTGTCACTGCAATAAGGGTTATACTCTCAACACTGATGGCAGAACATGCAGAGGTATGTAAAATGAAAAGTCTATACTAAAGTGTGCATCTCGTCAAAATCTAATCAAAGACGTTTTTGTCCCCTCCTCTCCTTCCCCCACAACTCCCYTCCCCTAAAAGATGATAATGATAAAAAATAATACTTTTTTGTTAATTGAATTGAGGTGCATWTGAATTATCTAAAAGTTTGTCAATGTTTTGAAAACATTAATTGAAAACATGTATATTATTTTACATTAATATGATTGTACTTTTATCAAGTTATCATTTATAACTGCAATTAAGTTTTGMTTTATCCATATTCACGTGACGTCGCGCGGAGCGTTCAAGTAAAACAATGAGATTTATACTACGTAATTTTTCAGTTTTATATGAATCGTTTCTTTTTTTTCAGCGATAACTTGCCCCCGCTTAGCAGCACCATCAAATGGCAAACGCACTCCCAACAAAGATGTTGTCAGTCTCGGTAGTATTATGCGCTTTGAGTGCAACGATGGTTATCGTTTGGTAGGTTCTAGCATGCGATCGTGYATGCCTAATGGTCAGTGGTCAGGCGTAGCACCATCATGCGTCGGTAAATATATTATTCATTTGGCTTTAATTCCATATTCTTGAATAATCAGTCTTACATTTACATGCAATTTTCAGCACAAAACATTGGTATACCTAGTGATGGACAACTGCTGAACGAATTTTTAAAGTCCACCTCACCTAATTTTTTTTATATTTGGAAAGAAAAGACTTTTGTCATAGTAACAACAATTTGTACAAACAAATTTGATTTCGTTTATTTAAGCTACATTTTGAAGCGAAAACAACCGCGGASAAAGCCAATTTCGGGATTCCTGTGTGCCTGATCAATGTCTTTGTGATGACGTAGAGGGAGTAAGTCGTTCGAGAGACAACGATAGATACCTACAGTGAAATGACAGTGAATCAAATCTGAAACAAGAGAACCTGGAATTTTGAACAGCTGTAAATACTACCTACATATATTGAAAGAAGTTACTTACCTGGGGCCGTAAATAACTTTTCCTGTTCCTCGATATATACGCAACACTTATTCGTCCACAACAATCTCTCAACACTTTAGCTCCATTTTTATAGCCAAGACATAAAATAACGTTCAAATCGTCAGAATAATCTCTAGTAGCATTAGATTTGCCGTCCAGGTTGGATTATCCCGCGTTCAGTCTTAGAAAACATAGATTTGTAATGAAATATGGGGAACTTGTACAGTAAACTTTGTATTTAACGAAGGACGAGTTACTCCACCAAGTCATCAACCCAGGCTCCCTCGCACTCGGCCAAATGATTTTTGATTAAACGAGCATAAAAAATATAAAATTTGGAAATTCGAATTTTTTTAATGTGAATTTGTGGTTTATAACTCCTAAACGTTTTTTCCAAAAAAATTGGGTGAGGTGGACTTTAACGATTTTTTTACCGGATTACGACTGAACAGAAGACGATAATCAAATGTGCCGHTACAAAAATAAAGTTTCTTCAAATGCCGTGCTCTTTTTTGCATACGAAATCGCACTATACATAGTAGTGTTCAAACAACCGATCGTGAAAAGCTGTTAAATTTCACTTTTATTGAAATCGCTGATATTTAACACTATAAAAAAAGCTTTATATCTAATTGTATTCCTTTCGTACTGTAACAAGGCGTCAAGTGCATTCCCACAATGGCTCCTTTGAATGGCTTTGTCCAGCAGTCTCATCTTCAATACGGTAGCAAAGCCGTGTATTCCTGCCGATCTGGATTTAGACTTCTTTATTCATCACAACGAGTTTGTGGAAAAGATGGACTTTGGACAAACCAACAACCCTTGTGTATTCGTAAGTAGTTATAGAATTATCTTCACTGGTCTCATTAGCCGACTTGCGAAAKTTGTCTCATTAGTCACACATTTAGGAATCAAGACATAAAGCATAGAGCTCAGTTGTTCCTGAAAAGACAATAGTTTTTAATAATTCGCAAATCGACTGCTCAAATAGCAAAAATCTTGACAACGAAATATCATAAAAACGTGAAACCTTTGYAAATGGTAAACATAGTGCTTATCAATCTTTTTCAGCTGCCCATTGTCCAGAACCATCTGCACCTGTACTTGGAAAAGTAGTTGGTCTTCAGCGGAGTCAGGGCGACACTATTAGATTTGAATGTAAAACAGGACATAGAGTAGATGGATCTTCATTTGCTGTCTGCCAGAGTAATGGTCAATGGAGTCATTCAACGCCCAAGTGCAAAAGTAATGAAATATAGAAGGAGAGAGTTTGACTTTCACTAACTGAGTTTTGATATTATTCGCGGTCCTAAAGATAGAATCTATTATTGCAATTCCMTAAACAGATCTTGATCAACTTTCATTACCATTCTCTCATCGCTTTCTCCAGTGTTGTAAATATTGATTGGTCTGTATTCGTTTAAAGTCATTGACTGTGGAAAACCTGCTGCGCTTGCCAATGGGATGATAACTGGATTGGTGTATACATACGGAGCAAAGATTCAATATGCTTGCAACAAAGACTTCCATTTATCTGGATCTAAGGAAAGACAATGTGAAAGTAATGGCTTATGGAGCGACAAGGATCCTGTTTGCTTGGGTAAGCAAAAATCAGAAGAATGAATCACCTATAAATCTCTCCTAATTCTCACTTCTTTCCCGAACTTTCGAGCAGGTGAACACTTTGAAATTACCATAAGGATACAGGCATTCGAACTTTTTATATAACCTAGGAACAGTGCAGAATATTTTAGGAAGATGACTGAAAATTTTCCAATTTCTTCTGCCTGCTCTTATCATTTGACTAAAAAACTTATCATTTGACTGAAAACTTATCAGTGGGAGACGGCGCAACAAGAGCACAGAATCATGGCACATTTATTGTTTAATACATCGTTCACGATGCTCATGTAATGTGCATTGATGTTATTCATATATGATTATAGTAAATCAATTTATGACTTTTTGTAGAGCGTTCTTGTGGTCATCCTGGTGAACTTGCTAACGGTGTTATGACAGGAGAAGACTTCACTTACGGCAAGATAGTTACCTTTAAGTGCAATGTTGGTTATGCCCTCAGCGGATCTGCTTCAAGAACATGTCAGACTAATGGACAGTGGACTGGATCRCAACCAACATGCAATGGTTAGTTAAGTTAGACTTGCTTTGCTCAAAGCTTATTATTGTAATTTATCATGGAGAATCAAAAAACTTACAGGAGAGCCGACGGGTTCTGTTCTTCAAAAAAAAAACTGTTCTTTTACGAATTATCTCCTTGGAAAGGGATTTTGAGCTACATTGTTGAAAATCTTACAAGCAAATGTGGCGCCCTTCCTTCTTCAAATAATCTTATTCCTGGAAAACGTTTTTATCGTTAAAACACGGCTTATATTTTTTTTAGTTAGGAAATTTATGTTTTCCTTGCAAAAATTCTTAGAAAGTATTCCAGGGAGAATTCTTATACAGCTGGCTRGGACAAAAACAGATACAATTCTCCCAGGAACCCGTCGGCTCCTTTAAACTTACGATATGTTATTATATATACGTATATGCGTACCAAGTGTAGCTTTATACATAGAGTGCTTAGAAATTTAAAGCAATTTTAATTCAATGTAAGCAGTTTTATTTAATTTTAATTCAATTTTTTTTAATTTTAAAATTAAAAAAATAATTTTATATAATAAATTTAATATTAAAATATGCAAAAACAGTAAAAAAGAAAAAAAAAAATGATATTCACTTTCGCTATTCAAAGGAAAATTTCCTTTGTATAACACATACCCACAATTCGTCTCTCTTTTTCAGTACTTTCTGTCTGCCTTTATAATTTCTTTAATAAAGCTTAATAGATATTGGTCATTATTATTAGCTGTAAGCTGTGGTAATCCTGGTGTACCATCCAACGGCGAAGTATTTGGTAAAAAGTATACATATGGTGAAAATCTTCGCTTCKACTGTCTTCCTGGTTATAGACTTGTTGGATCAATAGATCGGTCATGTGGTGCTGATGGACGATGGACTGGAACTCAACCTCGTTGCGATAGTAAGTGCCATAACAAAGCCATCAGAAAACTTWTACTTTTGATTCAACCCCCCCTCCCCACCAATAGAAAAACGATACAATTGAATATCATTTCTTTTAGAGACAAGCTGCGGAGCCAACCTTGTTGGTCCAACGGGAACCTTTTCTTCGGTCAACTTCCCCAATGGATACAACAACAATGATTACTGCCGATGGAAGATCACAGTACGTTCGGACAGAAAAGTCATGATCACATTTAACAGTTTCAAAACACAGGCAGGGAAAGACTTTGTTGAGGTGTACGATGGTAGAAACGGTCAGCTCATCACTAAACTGTCAGGCATCCATTCTAAACCAATTTCGTTCACCTCTAACTCGAACATGATGGACGTGAAATTCTACTCAGATTCTAAAGATGTTACAGATGGTTTTGAAGCATCGTACGAGCCTGTTTGTAAGTAGCACCGCAGACATCGTGCCCGCTATTGTAGATTACTCTATGTCGATTAAGATTGAGACTTCTTGGAAATTGGCATGCGCACAAGCTATGCGGAGAAAAATTACTAGTACCGAACATGAATATTTTTTTATAATTCTAATGCCCCCTCTCTGTCGAACGCGCTTTAGATTTTTCTAATATACCGTTATTTCAATTACAGCTTGTGGAGGACTTGTCACGCAGCTTGGTTCCGTCATAAAGTCCCCTAACTACCCCAACAATTACCCAAATGGAGTGAAATGCGTTTGGGCCCTTAACATTGGACATGCTTTCCAACTTGAATTCGACTCCTTCAACACTCAACCAAGTTATGACTATTTAAGAGGGTATGACTCTCTCTCGTCTTTCACAGGTACATAAAMCACACATCAAATAATTTATTATTCCTTTATTATTCCTATTGTTATATTATTTTTTATTTATTCTAGCCGCCAATCTCGAATTTGAGTACGAGGACGAGTGGGTCAGACTCAAAGTCCAGTCTACAACAGGCCAAATGCTTTTAATATTTTCATCCAATGGATCCGTGAATAGGAAGGGTTTCCAGTTAACCGTTAAGAAGTATCAAGTAATTGTAGGCCGAAAGAAAAGAGATCTAGTCTTTCATTATTGATTGAACGACCCATCAAAATTATAGAGAATGTACTCGTGTGATGTTAGATAGTGGTGATGGTTCAATGGTATTTGTATTAACAAGGCCTTAATAAATGCTTATTTCACATAGATGTGTTCAGTTTCACCGTAACCTTCCTAGYTCAGTACCACATCTCCCTAGAAAATACCGGGGAAAATCACGTTTTAACAATGTGTATAAAGTCTTAGCTCTTGCTAAAATACTCTTAGATACWAAAAATGCAGTGTCTCAAACAGATAATTTCTTCTGATTTGGACGATAAATTCTCTCGTCAAACTTGATTAATGCTGTTGAAGTAACGTTGAAATCCTTGGCTATATATAAAGGCTTTAAATTCAAAAGTCTCCCTGGAGGCAAGTGGACCGGGGTTTGAATTGACTCATGCATTATTCATCTATTTTAGTTAACAATGATCACCGATCTATTGAATTTAAAGACAGACACTAAAAATAATTTTTACAACAATTATTATTAATTAAAAATTTATTATTACTTATTTTGAAAATCTTAAAGACACAATGATGAAATTCTCTGTAATTGCTAATTTTATATAGACCTCTGAAGCTTTTACGTCATATACCGTATACGTCAGGTCTCTGCGCAAGAGAATCTGTTGTCAAATGAAGCAGCGGTTTTCCGCTATGAATTCGAAACTCGAGTATAGTAGRATATTTTTGGGACAAAACATGGCAAATGTCTTCAAATCATCTACTTTATCTAGTTGTGCTATCAAAAGAATTGTTGTTAGAATTATAATATCTGAACGTTCTAGCATAATAGTTTTCTATAATATTGATAACATTAAACGACATTTAAAAACGCACTTTGTTACTTGAACTGGAATATAAATTTCAAATCAATTTCTACTTCTCGCTCTCGAACAATCTTTTCGAACAGGATTTTCAACTGTCCTTGTGCCCGGAAGCCTTCCTCCTCCTTTCGCATTACTGCATTGTCCCACATCTTAAAAAAAGACGATTTCCGAGAGAGGAGTGGGCGCGTTCGAAAATACTACTGAAGAATGAGTATTTTCGGGCGGTTTTCCGGAGCTTTCATATGCGTGCCTGTGACTTTTGTGAAAGCGCCCGCGCATCTCGCATCATCTAGTTTAGATTCTTCACCGTTGTTTTACTGCAAGTACCGTTCTCTCGTAATTTATATAMTAAAAATAATAATATCAAAATGAAGTAGGAGGAAAACAAACCCACAAACAAATGAAATATGATTATCATCAACAACAAACGCAATACTRAACTACAAGAAATCAAATGCCAACCACASATCAAAGTGAGACAACAACATTGCTGTTTAGATTTTGTTTAATAATATACTCTCAATACATGAGTCACATTGAATTATTGTCGAAACGATAATTGGTTTATGGCAATGTACATRCATTCTAAAATTTAGCCAAACCATCTTGTAAAATAGACCGTATGGCGYTTTTGTTGTAATTTCCACTTCTTTCAATCTTACTTATTTTCTGTCAATATATAATGTCAAAATAAATTTAATAAAACTATTTCTTGTCCAGTCGCTCATTGATATCTCTGGAGATCTTCATTACATCTAAGTTTTTTAGCGATGGTACATATTCTTTGCCGTCTGAGTTCATATTGATCAATCTGAAATGAAAAAAGATCCTATTATATAATTGCCTAAATTTCTAGTTTCGAAAAGTTGATATTTTCACTAGTGAAAATAACATTTTCGAGGTTTCTCTATATAGTGGAAGTAAGGAAAAAGGTATTTTACGACATAATTTGTTTTCATACATAAGTATAATATAAACAGAATATTATATGGTCGCTTGGAGATACGGATTTTATCTTCTCGTGTTGAAATTCTCGCTACGCTCACTCGTGAGATATCTTTTCAACACTCTAAGATAAAATCCGTATTTCCGCGCGAGCATGTAATATCCTTTATATGTTTAATAATGTATTTCTCATTGTGAGAATGGCTAGTGGGTGTCTACAAAGTGCTGTCAAGATACAATCGTTTCCTTTTGACTGTGAAATATTAGTGAGACTAATATATTATTTTCTAAATCCATTGATTTCTTTGTTCTTTACCCGGAAATAAATACTACTAAATGTTCATTTTTATTGCACGGTCAAATGAAAACGACCATTATGAACAGTTCATTTATGATACCAATCTCATRAATAATTCATGACTTKATTGYATAATTAAAGCCGCTTGTGTAAATTGGATTGCGCTATTAAATGCCGAATTTTCAACCACCAACTAGCTGGTAAATTYTGATATAAGAGGATTTTCAGTCATTTATTGAACTTCACCATATTTCTTTTCTTCGTATCTCTTTAAGATATCGAGATACGCCGGCAGATAAAAATTTATATTATTTACTATTTATATTATTTGTACGGACACTAAATTTCTCTTTACTCAAGACATATAGATTGTGTCCAAAATATTCGGAAATTAATAATGTAATCATTTGTCTTTTTTTCACGCACAAATTCTTATGATTCTTGTCTTGCGCGTAATTTGCATGCTCCCATTGAAGTGAAAACGTACATTGCTATGAATTGTAGAAACCTAGACCTTTATTAGTGTGTTATTCAAGCTTAAAAAAGGTGTTCCTTACAGGTTTGATGTAATTTCGATCTTTGGTTTTTATGTTATCTGTAAAAGAAAGCTATGATTCGCAATATCATGTACACAGCTCTAGAAACTCCTGTAAAGGCGGCAAGAAAACAAAACGTAATTTTAGACTTTTTACAAACATGCAATAATTGTTTCAAAAGCAATGCTAGCTGTATCGTAATAAGTGATTAAAAGTAGGTTTTGCTTGATTTAGGGAGGCAGTACCCTCAGTGTTTAATTGCTGTATAAAAGAAATCATGGTCTGAGCTTGCATTTTCTGGGGCCTTAGTCTATGATAATTCTGAGTCAAAGAGGATGTTTTCTTAACTCTACTTGAAGTAATTAATGACARCAAGGTCAACCTCTAGTAGGCCACCTTTKTGGACTTCCTCGATTACATCTTACCAGATATTTCTGGGAAAAAACATTGAACGAATCAATATCCAGAAAATTGGTCCATGGATGAAGTGCTCTGGACTTGTTATTTAYTCCTGCAAAACCTCGGAAAAAGGGTATCAAAAATATAACACGCAAGGTACTAAAGGACTTTACATCTTCTTCGACTTTGTTCAAATGACGTCATTGTTCAAAAATAGATTTCTTTCTTGTAAGAAGCGATATAAGTCATTATTGACAGGAAAAAATGGTAACAATAACGTCCAACTATACTAATAAAAAAACAACAACAAAGTAATGCACCTTTTTTACAAATTTAGGAGTAATTAAAAAGATTAAACAAAATTACACAGTTTGAACTTTTTCATTGTCTTTTTCATTTGTTCATTTCACATCAAACTCGTAAAAGTTTGTAAAAATAAAATATTCTATGATAACGTTCTTTTTAAAACATGTGTATATTCATTTGCAAAATAAGCGAAAAAAAAGCAGCCACATTTTCGTAAAAAACATTAACTAAGCACAATATTGTATGACGAAAAGATACCTGAAAATGAGATAGCTAACACGTCATTTAGGATTTCAAGATGAAAGTTTCCTTACAACTTTTGTGAATATTGGGCTTATACATCAAACAGTTGCTAATACAGAGTTAATCCTTTATCAATTTATCCACTTTTGTACATATCGCCTAAAGTGTTTCTTGAAGATCGTTTTTCTTCTGAATAATGCCAAATAAAGACTGTTGAGTGGATGTTAAATCTCTTTTTGACTACTATTATCGTTTTATATTACCGATCAAATATAATATATAAGTGCTAGATCGATGATCGTATAATCAATAAGATCTAAGGGTACATCTGTCAACGATAAGCAAACAAAAATGAAGTCACATCAAATTGTATYTGTAATGCTGTTTTCGCTTGTATTAGGTTGCCTTATCGACCTAAGCGTGCAATATAACGGTGGTTCGCTGTGCCAAGGGTGTCTTGATCCACCTTGTCCTTGTCGCAGAAGAATCGCTCTAATGAAGGTAAAAGTACTTGGAATACATCTTTTACTTATGTTAAACGTTCAAACATATGCATGCTGCCAAGAAATCATGATGTTGTTTAACCATTTCTTTTACATGACCTACTTAGCGGATAGTCGGTTCACCAGTTGTTCAGATCAACATAGATAGCATTATTACATTAAAATAGATCAGAGACCTTATCAGCGGAATCGGTTCTTAGAGCGTTATATAAAATCTGTCATATAAAAAAGGTCAGTTTAACTTTACTGGCCTTTTATGGTCAAATGAGGAACCCATTATGAGATGTAGTAGGTTTACGTACAGCTTGCCTAAATGAGTAAATATTTCAGCTCAATGTTATATATATTAAGATTATTTAAATGCATGCTGTTTCAACACTAAAATTCATAAAGATCAATGAGAGAAAAGCAGGTGCCGTAAAAGAACATTCTACCAACCAAGAGAACTGAGCTTTCTGACAGATGTTTGTTCTATAACCGAGTAAAACATTGATAGCTGTTTTGTTGAAACTTTATGAAATATCAGCAGGGAAAGAATCAAATAATTAATGATGAAAATGACTTCGTTCAAATGCCCATCAAATCCCGCATCAAATGAACTCACATTTCATTGCATTCTGCTTGTTCAATTAAAGTATATATTTTGAAAAGATCGTAATACTGGACCCGTGGGAAGTACAAACGGAAATTCAAACGTTCAATGAATCTAAAATCAATTTGTTGATGTGTTTTAGAAGATGTACCAGAAATTAACCGGCGGGAGATCTTTATCAATAAATCGGTTATACGTCAATATAAAGTGCGTTATATAAAGTGCGTTGTATAAAAATAAATTCGTTTATTTTTATATCCAATCCTCGGAATAGTTAAAAACGGATCTTAAAATATAATTTCTCAAACTACGCTTCCGTGCATTTACAAATSAAACGCCAAAACGGCAAGTGATCATTGATTAAGACAAGCAACGATGACTMAAGTTTCTCYACAACTATATGGGAAGTACAAACGGAAATTTCAGCGTTCAAGAGTTATTAAAAAAGTTTGCATTTTRGCCCAGGGCTGAACCGCAGATTACATCAATTGGTAGTGAAACAGATTACGGCATCGTTAAGAAATAAGTTTAGTATTTCTTTTTTCAATGTTTGTATACTTGAATAAAATTGATGACCAGTGATGTTTTAATGATTAAAGCAACAGTTAATTGTAAAGTGGAAGAAAACTCGTTGTATGACTTAAGGGAAGTTGTTCAATACTCTTATGAATGCTCTTTGAATAACTTTTGAAAACTCTTGTGTTTTAAGTAAGTATCGAAAAAAAACTCATTTCCTTCTCTTTCATTCTTCAGAGAGCGCTAACAATGGGAAAAAGAGAAGATTGGTGTGCTGTAGCCAGGTCTATGAATTGTGCCGATAGCCCTGTCAAATCATCTTCCAACGACCAACCAGAGCCCAAACTCTACCAATAGGCAGCAAAGACGACGCCACGCGCACCTGACGGGCGTGGGGATTAATATCAATCAAGTCATAGCAGACATCGATTACTTTAAATGAGTGGGAACTTGTTACTAATAGCGATAGCATTAAGTAGTAGTTTGCAAGGTATTTTAGTTATGTAACGAGCTAATGTAGCTTGGATTTAATGGATATTGGAGTAATCCCTTAATAATACCATTAAAACATTTAGATGCCTTTAAGTAAACTTTTATCTAATTTATCTCTATAACTTTTAAGAATTAAACGTGTTTAAAGGAAACCGGCTATTAGTGTGAGTTTTTTAATAATCACTCCAACAGCTGAAAAAGRCTCATCAAGATTTTGATTCGTGGTCGGAGATCTTAAGAAAAGAGAGAGAGAGAAAAAGGTATTGTTTCAATCTGGCACTCTGATACTAAAAGTTTTTATCCGTCCAAAATATATACCTCTTTTTAATGAGCTCTGAAGAACGACTAACAGCAATCATGCTTCTATTTTTGCGTAAACGTTRGTGTTAACTTTTGAGAATGTACATAGAAGATAACATGGTTGAAAGCTGAACGAAAGCGGTCAAGCAGAAATCGTTTGACTGGGAATTGACAGCTGGAGTTTGCTTTGGTCGAGGAGCTCCTTCGAGCTTCATGAGTTTTGATGAGTTTGTTAAAGAAAACCCATTCTGGGTTATCTCTGAAAGAGTTGAGTTTGAAGCTTAATTATTTTAGAAAAAACGCAAGAAGAAAAGAAATAAGAATAAAAAGAAAAAAAAATATGCAAGCAAACACAAATTTATAAAGCACAAAATGTCAACCGTTTTTATGAAAATACACTTTTCTTTTGCAGTTTTACTCATATTAAACAAGAACCAAATAAATATAAAAAAAAGATAACAAAGATCTTAACAAAAAGACAACAAAATTAGTGAAACTAAAGATTCAAAAACTCTTTTTTGTTCTTCTTCTTTTATACATGAAAGAAAAATKATATCGCTTCTTACGAAGAATACAAAATTATATTCTTTCAAACAATTATCATTTATTTGTTGAGTTGTTCTCTTATCTAGAGTTTTTAAAACCCTTCACTATAATCCGCCAAACCAAAAGTAGCTGAAAGAGGTYTCGAGGTGGGCCTTTTTGAAATCAAAATTAAAAGTAATGTTGTGTTTTTGATTTGAGATGTTTTTCAGTAGAATATTATACTTTCTGATGTAGATGTTGTCCACATACCTGTCTTTTGCCGCCTTCACTACATGGTTTACCATTACAGGCATGATTGGCACCCCCGATTAYTGCTCTTGAGCGTTGAACCATCATCAGGGCCAATGACATAAGAACTAAGAATTGAATAGCTTTAGTGTTCATCTCTCTGCCTTAAGTTGGTCTAGTTTGTGAACAGGACAACATCCTAACGATATATTTATAGGGCTTGGGACTAGATTATCCACGTGTTACGTAGAGCAGCACCTGTATTTCAAACTCAGCACGCCGATTATCTGAATTGCTTACTGCGTAGTACGCTGAACATCATGTGACATCAAGCTCGCATTATTAGGACGCCCCTTACCGTTATAACATTTTGTAATGATAAACATCGTTACTTTATACATATTYAAGTCTGTGGAAGCTATTAATCTGGAAATGGCGATGGATGGTAAAGAAAACAAAGTTGGGATGAAAAACAACCTGTCAAGCTAATAGTTTACGTAATTGCYAGCAACGTACGCTATAAGCTCTTTTTTGTTTTATCAGTCAGATTGTAGTGTAGATGTGTGTCATAAATGTCAGCTGTTGTTTATGGCAGTAGAGTCGATACTTCTGATTGAAAACATTTGAAGTAAAGGCTTCCTCTCTGAAATTTGATGTTCGCGTTCGCTAAAATACAGAACTGAAGAAGGAAATCATTGGACTTATATTTAGAAAATATAATTATACACAGGCCGCTAAAACATCTTTTTAAATTTATGTTTTTTTTCTCTATGAATATATAGTTGAGCAAGCTGGAGCTTAAGACCCAAAGATATTGATATATTTTGTTGAAATTTTCTCTGGTCAAATGTTTATRAAATTTCTGCGTCTGATCAACCAAAGTGATCTGATTGAAAAGGCGCGTGCAATCACAATACACGTGGTAGAATAACAGGAAAAATAACTTTGCCAAAGAAAATACSAGAAGGAAGTTGTAAACCGATTAAAACGGATAACAACAAATTAAATGATATAATAATTTTATTAAATAAAAACCTTATCGTAGRCAAAGGACAAGGCAAAGATCCGAGTTTCCAACGTTGATCCACAACTCATGGCCTACAGTTTTATCTTACGCGAGGACAACATACATTAATTAGTACAATAAAAACAAGATTTCTTTATCACGTTTTTGAGTTTGTAGATTATGCAATTCATTTTCTATGTACTATGAGTTATCGTACTTGGCCGAGTAGGAATATTTCACCTGTTATTGGATATCCAAAAGTCAACTCTCTCCCAAAATCTATTGTAGGTACTTTGAATAAGAGATCCATAGAGATTTATTTTCATATTTCTAATACAAAACAACATATGATAAGAAAGGAGAGCAAATTTAGAACCATCAATCAAAAACGATTGAGTTGTAATTCATCATTATCAAAAGACGAAACCTTTATAATTTAGTACATGGTGCGAAAACTATTCAGTAAGCGCGTAATGTGTAGACAAAAACTGCTTCTATAAACGTGGCTGTTTAGTTGTTGATATCAATTAAAGTAATGGTAACTATAGACAAGAAATCATTTCTAAAATGTACTGGATAATCAAGAACTACTAGACAGTAGCTATATTGGCTTTTAAGGCGGGCTGTTTTTGGTTGTAATGTGTCGTCTGATACAATTGCACCTACTATTTCATGCGTGTAGCAAGATAAGCTTTTAAAAACATTTCAACTTTCTTAATTATGATCATTTTTGTGTTTGAGAATATAAAAATCTATTCTAAATTGATAATGTTGATTATAATGTGTATGTATAAAGCTAAGTTTTCTGTATGTAACTAGAACTATACATGTATAAAAGGTTGCAGAAACAACAACAGCTGAAAAGTCTTTATTTGCGGTGCGAACCACACCATAAAAAAGGCTAGCCCTTTTTCCCCCTTTATCGTTAAATGATTAAAAAGGCTTTTGCTGTTTTGTAATATATTGAATCTTAGCAGTGTTAAATGTGAATATAGCGAGGCTAATTGTAAGAATTTCAAAAAGAACGCTCTGTGTTGGCGTCTTATTGAGGAACTTCCGCATCTATAGTTGGCCCTCCGGCGAAATGACGGAACTGCTCTTATCTTCTCAGTAGAGAGACTGTTGTTCGCCTCTCCATTCTGACTAATTTCCTTTGAAAATGGAGACACTAGCTCTTTTATGAGGCAATTCCATTGGATGTTAATGATAAACGAAATTTTATGCCACTCTGATTGACATAAAGGCAAGTGAACAATCTCTTTTACGGCTGTTGTCAAATCAATTGATAAGSTGTCATTGKGGTATTCGACCATAAACGTCGCCTCTTCAGATCGATCTTCAGACAACAATTCGTACAAAGTAGGATGCTTCCTGCTGTTGAAGTCAGTTATGAAGAATTTGTCTTCCCCTTTATTATCTTTTCTCCATGCAGGGACTTTTGATTTTATTTACATTGTATAAATGAAAACAAAGTGAAACTAAAGCAATTAAAAGAGTTGTGCCTTTCGTTTTTCTTTATTTTGTTTATTTATCGAATATATATWATATATATAAACTTTTAATACTTGACTTGCTTGTCCACTATATGGACCGGTCAATACCTCTCGCTGTTCAGTATACAAAATTTGAATAAAAATTCTCGGCCCTCTGAAATTAGTCGTACAAAACAGATGTCTTACTAATATCTATAAATAAAATAAGCCATTCAGTGCTATTATTACTTCCTTCCACGTAAAACTATATTCTTAGTTGCGATGACATCACCAAAATACACCCGAATACTACACAAACTTTAATAACAGCACGTTGCTTGTTATGTCTTATAAAARCATACTTTAGGTAAGCAGTCGTGAAACCAGTTTTTTTTTAAAAAAAGATGCAAATAAAAAAGTGAAAATTAATCAAGTATCGTAATAATACAACAGCGGAAGAGAACAKATTATGTACTAATGTGTATAATTTTTCTAACAGTATGGTACAGTCATTTGCTTGCAAAGTTTTTAAACGCCTACATAATTATATGATTATTTCGGGTACATCATGGGTAATACATATGATTTCCGCTCTTTTCTCGCTAAATGAGATTGAAAATCAATTTGATTTTTTTGAAATTATTTTTATTTAGTGATATAGCAACATATGCATATGCAGCTTTAGCCGCCTTCGCAGGAAACTCTACKCCGTGGGGCTCCTGTGTTAAGGCAAAAAAGTGCCTGAGGGKGAGAGGGTTATTCGTTGTTCCTAATCTCTCGACACCAGTTCTTCTCGGTCAAGATTATGAACAYAGGAAGACCAAGAAAAATGTCCGTTTCCGATGGAGTAGCCTGCGAAGGAGGCTAATGCAGCTTAACGATTTAAATAGTAATCGCAAATGTTGATATATTTATAGCAACAAGAACAAGAGCAAAAACGACAACAGTCGCAACAATAGCCGACTTGCGAATTTCGCCTCAGTAGTCACAAACAAAGGAATCAAGATGAGGCGCCGTGCATAAAGCTCAGTCATTCGTGAAAAGACAATAGTTTTCACAATTTGACTGAGCTTTACGCACGGTTCCTCGTCTTGATTCTTTTGTGTTTGACTACTGAGGCGAAATTCGAAAATCGGCTATTAAACATCAAAGACTTTATTGTGCTCAGAAAGTTAAAAAAGAATAAAGAAACGGGTTTGGAGGGATCAATTCATACATTTAGAAATATTATGAACTAGTCTTCGAGTTAAATGTCCTGGCCCTAAGRGAAAACGCGAAACTGAAGAAGAGTTCCGCCTKATGAAGAATTTCACATCGCTTTCAAAAGAATCCAGACCGCTTTTCAGTTGGGAAAAACTCCAGGCACACTTCTCAAGTCATTTTGCTGACCGACCTTACATCCCACAGCCTGAGCTAGAACATCCCGAGGACTTTCCACACTTATTACCACCGGMTGACCTTCCTCCAATATACGAATATACACCTAGTCGTGAGGAGATTGAAAATACCATCAGAAATTTGAAAAACGGAAAATGCCGATAACGTATACTCCGAGCAGTTGAAGTATTCTACATCTACAAGGCTGATAGAGTACATCACAATACT